TCTACAGCTATGTAAAATCCTCTAAGACATTACAATAACTGTTTTTTTTGCAGTCAGCATTTATTCAGGACTTCTGACATTATCTTTTTTTGTTGCTACTCACTTCTTTCTGTGTTTCTTTTCTTCTGTCTGCTGCTACACATTTTCCTTCAACTTGAACTCTCTTCAGTATTTGTTGTAGTGCAGCTCTTAGGGTGACAAGTTCTCCCAGGTTTTGGTCTGAAAATGTCTTCAATTCATCTTCCTTTTTGAAGGATATTTATTACTGTTTATTGAATTCTAAGTTGGCTGTTACTTTCTCTTTTTACTCGAAAAATATTGTTCCATTATTTTATTGCTTCCATCATTTCTGTTGACAAAGCATCTATATGATTTATTGTTCCTTTTTATGGTAAGTGTCTTTTTCTTCTGGCTGCTTTTATGATTTTCACTTTGTATTTTGTTTTCAGCAGGTTAATTATATTCAAAAGTGTAATTTTCTCTGTATTTATTTTACTTGGTATTCATAGAACTTCTTGAACCTATGGCTTCCATTTTCAGCAGTTTTAGAAAATTCTTAGCCTTTATCTCTCCCAATATGGCTTCTGTCCCATTCTCTTTTCTCTCCTCAGAGAGACTCCAATTATACATATTTTTGAGCTTTTCACTATGCTTCCTATGTCTCTTAGTTTCTTTCTATATTTCCTATCCTTTTGTCTCTGTGCTTCAGTCTAAATACTGTGCAAATGACATGCTTGGTGTTCAGCAAACTTCTGTCCATCTGTGCCCAATTTGCTCTTAAGCCCATGTACTAAATTATTAATTTGAGTTATCCTACTTTTTAGTGTAGAAATTCCAAATTATTATTATTAGATTCTAGTTCTCTGTTAAAATTCTTCCTCTTGCCATCTGTTTTCTTGAATATATGGATCTAGTTTTTTTAAAATCTGTGCCTCCTAACTCAATATCTGTATCACTAGTTTTTCTCTTTTTCCTATAACCTGAAATGCCTGGTAACTTTTTATTGAATTCTGGACATTGTATAGAAAAACTCATAGGGGCTCTAGAAGATGTTTTCTTCCTCCAGAAAGGATTTACTTTTGCTTTTGGCAGGTACCTAGGTAGAGGGTCAATCACTTTAACCAAATCAGGGATTGAGTTAATTTAATGCTGAGTTTCAGTCTTTGTGAAAGCCTGTCTATTCCTGTTTCACCATTATCTTTACAATATAACCCTTTAGGGGTTCCGGTTAAAACCCTTGGGTGTTTACTGGGCCTTTTCTCTTTGGTGAGCTCTGAATTCAAATTTCTTTCCAGCCCCATAAAACTGCCAAAGTTCTCCTCAGCTTCTTACCTACCACTTTCTACTTGACGTCTCAGTGTTTCATCCTACACTGAATTGGGCATATGCCTCAAAAAAAGAAAAATAGTGCTGAAACTCAGCATTTACCTTCTCTCTGGAATCTCGGCCACTCAAGTGTTTTGGCCACTCAAGTCATCAGAGAGTTCTCTGATGACTTCAACAGATTTAAAATAAGATTTCTCTGTTTTAGTTGTTCTTGGCAGGAGAGTTGTTCTCATACAAACTAATCAGTCATAGCCAGAGCCAGGAATTTAATTTTTAAGAATTATTTCCAAGAAATCATGGTATTTATATAGATTCTCCTGACTAGAAATATTTCTGGTTGTTTAAAATCAGAATCCTTCTTATTCTCTAATTCCATAATTGCTATCCAGTGTAATTTCCTCGACTATGAGACAATTGAGTCTGAAATAGAAGAATATATAACAGTCTCTAGTTGGTAATGTGGGAAGCCACACATCTATAACCCATCTCCCAATGTCTTTTATATCTTCTTATATAACACTCTATTGTAATGTAAGCATTTGTTTACTTCTCCATCTCCTCTCTTAGACTGGGGGCTGGAACTCTGCTGTATTTACCTTTATATTTTCATTGTGTACCACAGTGTCTAACATTTAGAAGGTACTCAGCAAATGCTTTTAGAATAAAGAGTTCTAGATAAGGTTAATAGGCTTATTTGTGTAGATGGATAATACCATTTAAAGTCTCATTAGCAATAGTTTGAATTCAGAAAGGTTATTTTTCCACCCTGATTTTGCCCACATTTTGAATATACTCTGTTTATGTTCTGCGGATTCCCGTGAATTGAACGCGTCCAGGGGGGCTTCTGGGTTCCCTGGGTCTTGAGACAGTGGAAGAGACTAATGATAAAGTGTTAAGATGGCGAGAGACTGGACAGCATGGACATTTTAAAATGACTATCAGGGGATTGGTGCTCATCCTTGCCAGTATCCCAGATCACTAAATGTAAAGTTCAGAGTTGTATAAAATGTACAACAGAACGAAGAAGGAATGCCGTACTCTCCTAGAGTCGTAATCCATCCAGCCTGTGCTCTCGTCCTGGCGCCAACCAACTCCCTTCTATACCAGTGCTTCCTTCACTTTTTATTGGCTTAAGACATGCATGGGGACATTTCGGTTTTATTTGAATATATTTTATATATTTTTTGCTATATTATTAAAAGTTAAAATTACAGTCATATTTGATAATACTATATCAGATTATTCTGTACAAATGAATACCTGAGCTATTTTGCTTTCATTCCAGATGACTGGTATCTGAATTCCACTAAATGTGACGTGAGTATATTTCCCTATTTGAAATTAAAGTTGGACTTATTTAAATTAAGGATTTGATTTACTGACAGATATCTCACTCTCTTTCAGGTTCAGATCTTTCTTCATGCTTAGCATTTGGTATTTCCAATAACTTGAACCAACAGAGCTGTTAGTAGCAGTTGCATGGACTTCCTTTTACTGATTTTCATGTGCCCCAGAATTATACCACCCCATGTTTAAATGATATGGAAATCCAAAGAATTCTTATCTTTATTCCCTGACATTGCCTATCTACAGCATACTACTGGTCAGTTCTATGTGTTTCCTACCTAACATGCCCAAATCAAAGCCAAATGAAATATCTTCTTCAAACTTTTTTTACTCCTAATTTTAGAAATAAAAAATACATTTCTAAGATTCTAGCTTCTGTTAGTGATTGAATAGCTTGATCATCTATAGGCAATAATAATGAAATGTGAACAATTTGTAAGTATTGGAGAATAATCAGAAGTGAACAGAAACTGAATAAGCCTAACCTTGAAAGACAATGAATGACATTTGTTTATAGGTTTTATCTGAGGACATTCTTCAGTCTTGTCAAGGACCCAAACAGGTGTCAGAGGATGGAGTTCAAGGCCAACAGAACTGGAAAATTAGATGGAAAAATTCAGTTTAAAAAAATTACTATAGGGCCGGCCGAGTGGCACGTCGGTTAAGAGCTGGCTTGGAACGCCAGCTCTGAGCAGCAGGGCCCCGGTTCAGATCCCACATGGGCCAGTGACACTGCGCCCTCTACAGCTAAGATGGTGAACCAACAGTTCGACCTGGAGCTGGGCTGCCTTGAGTCGCCGGCAACGGCGTAGGCTACAGCCCCTGCTGCAGCGGGTTGCCATAAGCTACCGTGTGTGGCCGACAGCCAGCGTGAGCTGCCAAGAGCCACCGTGAGTGGCCGTCCAGAGGCCAGCGACCAATCTGTCTCACCCAGGAAGAGCGCAGTGATAATACCAACAAGGGCCAGTGAAGCGACATCCTCCACAACTAGACTGAAGAACGAAAGGACAGCAACTTGTCTGTTCCCCGTCCCCTGATTCCCCAGCACTGTTCCCCTCCCCCAATTCCCCAATAAAATCTTTTAAAAAAAAATTATACATGTGAAGAAATAGGAATGTGATACTTCCTCAAGGGGGATAAAAAGGTCAATACAAACAGACCCTGAGGTGACCCAGATGTCACAATTAGCACAGTAACTAAAGCATCTGTGAAAAAGATGTTCAAGGACTTAAAGGAAGGTATACACAAAATGAATTCACATATGGGGAATTTCAGCTAAGAAATAGAAACTGTCGAAAATGACCAAATGGAAATAACAAAGCTGAAAAAGTGCAATATTAGAATGGAAAATTTACTGAATGGGCTTAACGTTATATTGGAGACAACAGAAAAAAGTCATTGAACTAGAACAGCGGTTCTCAACCTGTGGGTCACGACTCCTTTGGGAGTCAAACGACCCTTTCACAGGGGTCGCCAGGTACTCGTATGTGGGCGTATCTGCATGTGGGCCTGGAGACGGATAGAGGAGCGGTGTCTCGGTTCCTAAGACCATGGGAAATACGTGTTTTCCGATGGTCTTAGGCGACCCCTGTGAAAGGTTGAGAACTGCTGAACTAGAAAGATCAATAGAAATTAATCCAATCTGAAGAATGGAGAGAAAATAAAAATTAAAGATAATACATATCTTAGGTGAAGGCAAGAAATAAAAGTATGGTAGAATTGAGGTGAATGCCCAGTGCTAATTCAGCAATTAATTCTGCAAAGAAAAAAATTGAAAACAAAAACAAAAACAAAAAACCCTGGACTTTGAATATCTAATCCTTGCAGTGTTTCTTCAAGGGTAAGAGGGAGCCTATTATTTGATTTCAAAGTAGTATGTTTTTCTTGGTTTTCATAAGGTCATTTCTCTTATGTGGCCATCAGTTTCTTAGCTTTATGTCGTCTTCCTTTTTTTCCCCTCATTCCTTCCAGTAGCTAATGGCCTTTTCCTTCCGTGTGCTGTATTCAGGAACCAGGTAATTATGAAATAGGAGACAAGTTTTGACAGTAGACTAAGGCAAAGGAAGCATGAGGAACAGATCATCATCTTATAAGGTTCCATTCTTACGTGGGTTGCCTTTTAATGTATTCTCCTGTCGTGTTCCACTTTAATTGTAATTTTTTATTCCTGATATATCAGATCATAGTGAAGCATTTAGTTGTTTTTAAGCACCAATCTCTCTTAAGAATCTGTGAATACAAATACCTAATGATATTTCAAAGTAAGTATATTTTAATCACTGATCCCTCTAGACAACATTCTCTTTCTTTTGGTTTACACTTTGTAGGTGTTTCACCAAAACTAACGGCACTTTCAGCAGTAGCCCCCTTCCTGTGGTTCCAGTGGTAGCACCTTATCCTCAGGATGGTTTGGAAATGAAGCCTCTCAATCATATGAAGATTCCTGTATGTCTGGCTTCCACGGCCCCTGACTGCGGCCAGTTACCTGAGGAGAGCATCAAGGATGACGAGGCACCAAGACCTGCTCGACATACTTGCTGTCAGGACAGTAGGAATGAGATCAACTCTGATTCCACAGAAGATGCAGCAGAGTTCAACAGAGGTACAGAGAGACATTTTGAAATTTAAGTTTCAGGTAGTCTTCACTTAGCTGAAGAGAAGGGAAGATGATACAAACGTATTCTTTCTGTGATTAACTCACATATTTCTTATGAGACTGGGTGAACGTGTTGGATACTTCAATAAAAGTTGACTAGGTTAAGCATCCTTTGAAATTTTGTTCTTATCCACCTCTTTAACCTCAGGCTGTTAATCCCATTACGTTGCGGAAAGTAAATCCAAATAGGCTTTGATTCAGTTTGTACCTGAACAGTGGACTTGTTGGAAGAATGCATTTTGTGGTCTTGGGCCTCTTTTTTCATTTGAGTTTATTCTGGAGTTATAGCCTTCTTTAAGGCGGTTATTTTGGGGTTTTTAAGGAGTTTGCTTTAACCCTCAGATGAATTGTATAACTGTTCATGAGAGCTCAACTTTATTTTAAACCTTTTATACCTATTGTCTCCCTCAAATTCAAACTAAATATAATTGGGCTCTACTTTTACGTATTCTTTCTTTATTGCTCAAAGTAATGTTTTTAGACTGCTTTGTAAAAATCAGCTGTTATCATTTCATCATGCTTTCAAACCTTTTTGTTTTTCAGGAGACAGCTGTGTTCATTCAGAAACAGAGAACAAAATTTTAAGTTGGAATCCTCTTATTTTGCCACCTGTTTCAAAGGACAGTACTGAAAAGACAACGTGGTCTCCTCCTGGCATTCCGTTAGACAGCCCTTCAGGGGTCCTTCAACAACCCCAGGAAACCTGAGGATGTGCACATGACTAGTCACATTCCCACTTCAAGCCAGTAACTGCACAAAACAGGCCTGGGGATGGACTGTGTGAAGGACATTAATTCAAATCAGAGAAAAATCATTATTTATTTTTGTAGTAGTAATGTCATGTGAATGTATCTTAAAATGTGTGCCCTTTTATATTATTTATGCCTTAAAATTTTCCCTTCCTATTCCTTCCTCCCCCCTCAGTAGAAAACAACCTAGTTTTACATAGTTTTCAATCATCTGAGAACAGGGGGATCATTCCATGTCTTCCAAGAATCTCAGTGACAATAGGAGCTCCTCTTGTGAGGACCCAGCCTATCGGCTGCTTCAGCTAAGAGGGAAGTGTGCAGGCCGTTTGAAGTTTTCAGATGGAAAGCTGTCATTTCAGTATTGTATTATCAGATTTTCTGAGAACATTTTAAAATCAACCACAGTTGTAACCTGCTGTTCATAATAGCAGATCTCTTATGAATATTAGTGCCTTGCACAAAAGTGATAGCTGACCTGTTGACTCACTCTATACTCTCTGTCTGCACATGGGTACAAGTTATGTTTGGTTTTCCAGGCGCTGATCATACAGTGTTGTGGACATGGCTGAGGTTAAGGTCTAGTTGGGCTATTGTAGTCCTCAGAAAGGGAGCCAAGGTCAGAGAGAAGAAGAAGGCCTTCAAGTCCAACTGCTTTAAAATTGCATTTGTTTATAAAAGGGTCACCATGGCCTCTTTTTGACTGTAGCTAAGAGTAGGAACAAAATAAGACTTGAAGCTGGTGACTTGAAGGAAAGATTCACATTTTAAGAAGAAAGGGGAGGGTTTCAAGGGAGCCCATGTTGGCAGAAGCTCTTCCATTGCTATAGGATTATGCTCATGGTGCCACACCACCCGAAAATCATCATTTTCTGCCTTCCAACATGGGCAATACCTGAAAAATGTGAGCGTCAGGAAAGAATCAGTTTGGAGGGAAAGGGAGGTACGGTTTGAAATTTCCTGACGTTCTTTCAGAATGTCGTCACCGTAAACAGGCGCCTAAAGCTTCGGTTAGCAAAGCTCCTAACTCACAGTTCCTGCTGCCTCGGAGCCACAGGGCACGAGCAGCTGCCTGTGGAAGGCTTTCCTTCTCTACATCTAAAAAACAACAACAACAACAAAAAAAAAAACCACACAAAAACGGTGTAAGTATGCCTAATAGCTTGAGTCCAGCTTGGATGGATCACTGCTCCTTTTTGGATTGTGCATCCCTTTGGGAAAAGAACCTGAAAATGGTTCTCTTTAGAGTCCAGCAGTTCCAGCATCAATGAAAACAATTTACAGTTTCCCAGAAATTGCAGTGAAATAGACTAGAATACTATGTTAATCACCTTTCTATATAAGTGCATCAATATTCCCTTACATATGTCTATATATGTTATAAATAGAACTGTTAGTGAGATGTGCTGTTGCAGCTGAGGCACTATGCAAGGATTCCTGCGAGTAGAATGTAATGAATATAATTTCGTGGTCAGATGTGAGGGGTGCCATAGAATCAAGCTCTCCATTCCGGGTGTCCATGCCTGTACTATACTGGATATACTCTTCACGTCGCGTCGATGCAGTTAGCTTTGGAGGGGGATGGCTGCATCCCTGACTTCTGTGACTAGCAAAGGACAAAGTCCTCATACACAGAATATGAAAACAGACTCCACGTTTGCCAGTCACGTTACAGCGATGCTGTCACAAAGCGAGCTTTAGAAAAACGGGGGAGTAAATGTTTGTAGGCAGCCATGTTGATTCAGGAAACAGGTGTATTAGCATGAGCCTTAGGTCATAAACTGCTTTTTAAAGATTGAGTTTCAATATGGGATTTGTCCACCAGGAAGAGCAAATGACTTGACCTTTAGGGCAATCTCATTGTGGACTGCTTTATTTATATTATTAGTAACGCTGTTTTAAGTGTTATCCCTTTTATTGTATTTTATTTATAAAAATGCCTTTATATATTGAGATATATAAATATAAATATAACTATATATATATATATATATAGTTGCCTTTATGTTTAGGAGTTATGAGTTCTCCCTAACCATGAATTGTTCTGAATTTTGATGCCCCGCACAGTTACCAAAATCAGTCCTGCCTAAATATCACTTCACCAGGAAGTCAGAGGACATAGTACAGGGCGGGAGATGTCACCACCATTCGTGGAGTAACTGCTGTGGACCAGGCACTGTGCTTGGAGATTGTTACTGTTGTCTTATGAACCCTCACCACAAACCGTTAGAGTAGGTGTGAAAGTCCCCACGTCTCCCAGTGAGCTGCAGAGCCTGAGTTTGAACCCAGCTGATGTGGAGCCGGAATCTGAGCTCCTAACATTTTTCCATGCTGCTTTCCAAAAGCATTGCAGTTCACTCTTTTCATGGAACCAGTCCAGTTGTCCGTGCTCCAGTCCACCCCTGCTGGGAGGTTCCTTTGATGCTCTAACTCTACAGCTAGAGAAGCTGCCCTCGGTCCTACATGGGCAGAGCTCTCTGGGCTTGGTCTTTGGTCTTCCTGGAGTCCACATTTCTCCCTGGGAGCCCCCACCCCAACCCCAGAATCTGATCTTCACTCGGCTTAGTGATCTGTAGGTGGCCAGGCCTCTTTGTGTTCCTTCTTACCTTAGAATTTCGTCTGATTCTGTGTTTTAGCGTTAAACTTCCCCCGCTCCTATTCTGTCATTTCACTATCTCCTTTTTTCCTTCTTTCGCTTACGCGCTGGTGGTCTGGTGATAGGTGATAGTCTGGTGGTGTACAGGATGTAAGTTAAATTGCAATGTTTTAAACCTTTTGAAGTGATCTTTTAAAGAAGCATTTCTTCCTGGGTTTCATTTTTGTTGAATGAGTCTGAAGACCAACACATCCATGTTAAGCCAATCATGTCGCAAATCTCATTCCAGCTACAGTACTGCCAAGAAGCTCATTTTATGATGGGATTTCGCCTATGCCGTTCTTTTTTAAAAGCAATGACTTTGAGACGCATGCTTTTGTATCATATTGAAAAGTATGTTTTATTTTCCTTGAAGTTGTAATAGTGTGTTTGAAATTGTACATATTTTTAAATGATGTAGCTTTGACAGGTTCTATTTGGTTGATAGGATTTTATATTAAAAGAGAATGCTGCTTTCATGTAGAGTGGCAGTGAAGGTGGGGCGCTCAGATACTCCCTGTTTGTATAAAGCTGCTTATAGCTGTGACTGAGGTGGGTGTATATCTCACTCTGAAATTCTTTGGAGCCTCCACCCTGCCCGCCCCTGAAGACCCTCCTGTGTGTGTCCAAGAGCCAAGCGAGCCAGTCCCTTCTGTTCTGACTGCAGAGATTCAGGCCCTGCAGGAACAGGATCTAGAACAAGTGTTTTAGGGGGAGGCTGAGAAAATACCTGAGCCACGGAGCTGAGCTGTGTCAGAGCAGGCAGGCCCCCTGAGGGGCACTCAGTGTTTCTTTGGGAGGAAGCGAGGAGGGTGGGAGAGGCGCATAAGGAGAATGGAGAGGCATGGTCCCTCCTCCCAGTCAACCTAGAGCAACATCTGTATGAGCTCCAGGGTAGCAATTCATAGCCTCTTCAAGAAACAGCTTTGTTTACTACCCTAAAAAAAAGGGTCTGGGCTGCTTTGACTACAAAGCCAATGGGGTCTTTTGCATAGGGGTGGAGCCTTGTTAGATTTTATTTCTCCTCTTTAAATAAGGCTTAGCCCCAGTCCTGAGAGCTCTAAGGGAACTTGAAACCCCTTTTCGAATAAAGTCTAAATCTTTGAGAACCTAAGAAGCAGCTTCAGTTTCTGTCAGTTTTCTGTCTCCTTTCAGGCGCCACTTGCCTTATTTCTGGCAAGACCATCCCTTGGCTGTCTTGCTGTTTCTCCTCTGTGTCCCCTGTGGAGCCAGCTCTGAGACCCGACTCTTCTAGTCAGTTGAACAAGCATTCGTTTGTGTTTCACCCAAATTTCAGACATACACACACACACTCGGAGCCAGTGAGTCATGCTGGCAGCTGACAGACTATGACTTTGGAACAGCCCAGGTCCCCTGTCAGCCAGCTCCCCCAGGGCTGGTGGCAAGCTGCATCTGCAGTGCCCTGCTCTGTCTTGTTGTCACAGACTCCTGGAGTCTAGTGACTTTGTCCCTTTAACCACTGCAGACGCAGTGACATTCCTACAAAGGTAGAAGACAAAGAGCGTGGGATTGGCACCTGGCTCTGCTACCAGCTCTGATTACACCAGTCCTATGATAGCAGCTTGTGTCCTTGGGGAAGGAATTTGAGATGTGGAAAGTAAAGAACTGTAAGACCACGACTTGCTACAGTTGAATGAAGGGAACACATCCCTACATACCTCGCTGCTTCTCGGTAGGAAAACCTGGGACCCACCTGAACCTGTGATCAGCCTCTCCCTGGAGGAGTTGCTGTTGAAAGGACCTCTACTAGTGAGAGCATCAGGTATGATTTATTTAGGAATTAGTTCACAGTCTTTGGAAGCAGCTAGCTTGCTCATGTAGCACGAGGCACTGTTCCCAACACCATCATTCTCACTGGCCCTTGGACTCCCTGCTGGTCTTTTCTTCAAATATGTGTCTTTCTCGTCCTTCTGCCGCAATCTTCCACAAGCTGGACCAGGACTTCTCTTGTCACCAAGTCTAGATGCACTGCAGCTGAGCCTTGCACATCTGTAAAGGCTAGGTAGTAAGTGGGGAAGGGGTAGCTGGTGTCTTAGCTACCTTGGTTTTAAGACCAAGTATGACGGGATTTTCCCGCTCCCCACCTGTCTCTCCTAAGTGTATTTTCACCTTCCTCTGGGGGCCTCACGATGTCGCAGTCACTGTGATGGTGACATTTACTGGTGCATCCATGGATTCTTGTGCAGGATCCAAACCTGGGATGGTGGGTGGTGTTTGAACACCTAAAAGAACAGACATGAACAAAGGAGAGAGAAATACTATGGGGGTGTCCCAGATTATTCTCAGGATAAGAGAGACCGAGCATCATGCATGAAACTCAGGACTGCTCTCCTTATGCATGAGTAATCTTTGGGGGGAAATTGTGCTCACCTGCCTGTGCCTCACGGCCTTCCATTGAACCCCTACGTGGGTTACTTTGCTCCCTGAGCGTGAAATGGGAGAGGAAAGTTAGTGACAACCACACTTCCTTTCCAGTTAGAGGGAAACCCTGACCCCCAGAATGATGGATTCCACACTCACATAGGAACAAGCAACCGACCAAGGCCTGCAGAAAGAAAAGGAAAAGGTGCATTACTTGAGCAACCCAGCTTAGGTCAAAGAAGAACCCTCCTTTCCTCATTGGCTCCGTACTACAGACTAGGAGCCCGGAAGGCATGGCTCCAGATGCCCAAGGTCAGGATTGGAGCCCTGACCGACATCGCGCATTGGGGAGTTGTCACACAGAATACCCCAAAATTTCCTGCCCAGGGCTGGGAGAGGGACGGTGTCCTCACCTCCCTGGGATAGGTGATGACCTGGCCACCTTATGGGGTCAAGCAACCCCACCTTCAGCTTCCCACTCACAGGGGAAAGTCTCCGGGTGCCGGGCAGCGTACTGGAACACTAGCAAAGAGGCCACCGTTGCCACCACCATTCCTGTGCCTGCGGCACCCAGCACTGCTGGATAGGCGCTGAAGGGGGGGTCCGCTAGGAAGGAAGAGTGCTTGTTGCATGGGGTAGTTTTAGGAGAGCCACAGCTGAACTTGGCCGCAGTGGCTTATAAGCACCAAGCAGGCAATGCCCTGCTCTTCTAGTCCCCCCTCCACCTGAGGTGAGCGATCAAGAGCAAGGCTGGACCCTGAGCATCTGGAGACCAGGTCTCTCCCAAGGAAAGAGGTGCTCTTTGTGCCCGGTGCTCTTGATGTCTGAGCCCCTAGCCAAGTTCCCTATTTCTGGCACAGAAGGCAGCAGGCCAGTTATCTTGGCAGCTCGGGGCTGAAGGGAAAAATACCATAAAATGAGGAATTTCCAGAATAGAGAGCAGCAGGAAGCCGAGAGCCCACCTGTGCCGCAGGAGATGAGACTGAGGCACAGAATTGGATCCCTATCCTTATTTAATCTCCCCTTTCCCTATTGCTCCTGATTCAAGTTGAGCTATGGCTCCTACACCTAGACCTGAGGCCTCCGAGGGGGGAATGGGAAAAAGCAGTGGAGGGTCCCTGAGGAGAAGGTGGAGAAGAGGACTGAGATGGGGATGGAGGAATCCAGTAAGAAGCAGCAAAGGAACGGAGGAGGGGATGCCCTGAGACGAGGAAGATGAACAAGGGCTCCGTTTTGTGGAGAAAAAGGTGAGCATCGCAAGGCGCTAGCCCCAGCACCTGGTATCTTCACCTCAGAGGGATATCCAGTTGTGTGATGATTCAGAGCTAGGACTCGGAAGGCATAGCGGACCCCCGGGTCCAAGCCCCCCAGACGCCGGGTCCTGCTCTCTGGCTCGATGTCACCAGCTGCTGTCTCCCAAGCCCCAGCTCCTGGGCCTGGGACACTGGCCCTCCGCTGCACCAGGAAGCCCGTCAAGTTCCCGGGGCCTCTGATAGCCCATTGCAGCTGCACCTCTCTCCGGTGTCTGCCGTAGGTCAGGCGGCTGATGGTGACATTGGGGGGAGCTGGATACCCTGGGGGTAAGAGGAGACACAGGCAGCACATGCACACCCACAGCCATGTGCGCACATGTGCTTGTGTGCCCAAGTTTGTTCCAGCTTTGCTGAGAGGTAGCTGATAGTGCAGAAAAGGCCCTAGACTGGGGTGTGTGGACTGGATCAGTTCTGTGCAGTTTTGGTCTGTGTTACCCTAGACTTTCATGTCTAGGCCTCAGTTTCCTCACCTATAAATAGGAAGAGATTATTCTGACTCGTGAAGCTCTGTTTGCCTGTGTTTAAGAGTGCATGCGATTCCCGTTCACTGGCCCATTTAGATGCATGCCTTGGGGGGCCTGACTGTGCCTGAGGGAGTTCACATGCCCAAGCTCTGGAGTGGGGCATTCCAGTGCCTTCTGCCTACAGGGCTGTGGCTGGAGGTTTCCCATCCCGCTTGCCACACAAATGCATACCACACCCCCACCCCACTCACTCAGGACCTCCAGCAGGACACTCTGACTGCTGCTGCCCAAGGTGTTGTGAGCCACACACTGGTAGGTGCCCCTGTGGTGAGCTGGGTCAGCGCCCTGGATACCAAGGCGGAGCTGGGTGCCTTCAGGGTGCAGCATGAATCCGGAAGTGCCTGGTTCCACCGGCAGGTGCTGGGGTCCCAGCCAGAGGAGCTGGGCAGGGGGCATGCCCCCCAGGAGGGCACACTCCAGCCAGGCCTCTCCCCCCTCCAGCACTGACACCCAGGGCTCAGCCACTGCTAGCTGCGGGGCTTCTGTGGGGACAGAGAGAGTAAGGCTGCGAGATGGCCCCTGCGCCTGCCCTAGTGGGAAGGCTGGAGGGGAAGGGGCTGGCATGGTCGAGGGGAGGAGAAAGAGCAGACGGGGCTGTGGAGCTGACAGTGAAGCTTGTCTGGGACCGTCTGCCTCCTCCTTCAGACTTCCATTCTATGCCCGATTCCTATCACAATCTGCTCCAAAGTTCAGTGATAATAACAGCGTTCCTCCATGCTCCCCTCCACAGAACCCCAGGCTCAGCTCCTGCAGGTGGGGCCCCCCACCTTATTTATCTCAGCGTGAACTTCCTCCCTCCCAGCACCTAGCACAGGGCCTCCCCTCCCCCTGTGGCTACCACCTCCCTCCCTGGCCCAGGGCTGCGCCCACAGCAGGTCCTAGGTTTTTACGGAGTGACTCCTAAAGACCCTTTCTCAGATGTCAATGAACGTCTTGCAGTGGGATTTCCAGCCCTGAGCAGTAAGGATGGGAAAGATTTCGGGTTGAGGACCTTCTTAGAGCCCCTGAAAACGTGCTGGTCACCAAGCCTTAGAGACCAAAATATAACTCATTTTGTGAGAATTGTTATATGAGGTCTGACAATTAAGTTGGTGAATTTGTTGCAACGAGGTTGCTAACCTTTTTTTGATATCAGAGAAATTATTCATTTTGAATTTGTACCAACTGGACAAACGGTTAACCAAGCTGACTATTTGGAAGTGCTGAAAAGGCTGCGTGAAAAAGTTAGACAACCTGAACTTTTCACCAACAATTCATGGCTCTTGCATCACGACAATACACCAGCTCACATGGCGCTGTCTGTGAGGGAATTTTTAGCCAGTAAACAAATAACTGTATTGGAACACCCTCCCTACTCACCTGATCTGGCCCCCAGTGACTTCTTTCTTTACCCGAAGATAAAGGAAATGTTTAAGACATTTTGATGATATCTAGGACATCAAGGTTAATTTGATGACAACTCTGATGGCCATTCCAGAAAGAGTTCCAAAATTGCTTCGAAGGGGGACCAGGCACTGGCATCAGTGCACAGCTTCCCAAGGGGAGTACTTTGAAGGTGACCGTAGTGATATTCAGCAATGAGGTGTGTAGCACTTTTTCTAGGATGAGTTCACGGACTTAATTGTCCAACCTCATATGTGATGGCTCCTCTACTTGCTTTTCTCACATTTTTTTACTTCAATATTTAATTCATTTTCTTGAATTTCCAATAAATGGAACTAACAGGTCCAGGTGAAGACAGAGAAAGAAACCAGACCAAAAACAACTAGAGGGAGTGAGAGAGGGAGAGACCTCTGACTCCTGAAACGTTAATTCAAGTCAGGAATATAATCAGGTGCCTCTTATGCAAATTGATGCAGATGAAGCAGACAGCCAGAGCCCCTCATTGGCTAGTGTGTGTCCCAGCCACTTGTGACTGCTGAGCACTTGAAATGTGGCTCGTCTACCCTGAGATGTGCTGTAACTGTACATATACATGCCAGATTTTGAAGACAGTAAGAGAAAGCCAATGTAAAATATCTCAGTAATTTTCTATTGCACATTGAAATGATCATATATTGGATATATCGAGTTGAATAAAATGTTCACCTTTTTTCTTTTGCTTTTTAAAAATGTGGCTACTAGAAAATTTAAAATTATACTCATGGCTCACATTATATTTTTATTGGACAACACAGACCTAGACTAAACCCCCTTATTTTATAGATCAAAAAAACTTGAGCATCCTCCACAACTAGACTGAAGAACAAAACGACAGCATCTTGTCTGTCCCCCTTCCCCCAATTCCCCAGCACTGTTCCCATCCCCCAATTCCCCAATAAAATCTTTAAAAAAAAACAAAAAAACTTGAGTCCCTGGGAGGTGGGGTGACTCAGTCTCTTGACTCAGTTTGCATTCCAGCACAGCCACCCCACCCCCCACCAGCCCTTCACCCTGATTCCTGGGGTTGCTCCTCTCACCCCAACCCCAGAACCCAGTCACTAGCTCCCACTCACCCAGCTGCAGTCGGCAGTGGGGGTCGGGGACCCTGAGTGGGTGAGTGCCCCTGCAGATGAACTCTCTGCCAGCCAGAGCTTCCTGGGCCTGCAGGACGTGGACTGCCAGCGAGGAGCTGCTGCTGCCCAGGCGCTCCTGCTGTCCATCTAGCCAGTTCAGCAGGGCAGGAGGCTCACCTCCAGGCCACTCACAGCTCAGCATGATGAACTGGTCTCCGGTTGTGGCCATGGTCCGGCAGGTGGGACTCTGGATGGGTTCCCCTGGGTTGGGAATAAATGGCTCAGCATGGCCCTACAGGGGGAGGAGGGGCTCAGCGGGGCCACCCCATCCCTCCTTCCTTCATTTATTGCTTCACTCACCCATTCCTCCATTTACTCAGCCACTCATGTATTTGTTCATTCATCATTTATTGAGGGCTGACCATGTACCAGGGAAATAGTAGGAAAAGACACTAAGCAAGCAATTGCAGTATAATTTGATGAGTGCTGGAGTACAGGTAGAAAGACAAGTTCTCTGGGGCTTCGAGGAGGAGGATTTAGAAAACAAGGTGACATTTGAACTTGGTAGGTGAGTAGGAGTTTTCAAGGCAAAGAGAAAGCTACATTCAAGACCAGCATGCAATAGAGGAGTATAAGTAGGGTGTGAGGTGGTGAGAGCCTGCCGACCCTGGAGGCTGGGGAACAGCTAGGGGAGTGTCACAGGGCTCCAAGACCAAACTGAGGAGGACAGGTCCCAATGTAGGTGGAGACTAGGGCTGGGTGGAGAGAAGGTGGGACATAGGGTCTGAGTTGCGTGCGGCCCACTTCCTTGTTATGTGGCACGTCTCAGAGTTGGTGGTTTGGTGCTCCTACCAGATTCCGGGGCCCCTCCCGTCTCTCCCCGGACCGCTACCCACTCCTCTGCCTGGAATATCAGAGCCCTGCTGTCTCCTGTCTCCACTCACACAAGGTGATCCTGCACAGGGCGAGGAGTGCCAGGGCTGGGTGCTGGCCAGTGCAGGTGAAGACGCTGCTGTTGGCAAGCTGGGTGGCTGCAGGGCTCCAGGTGACGTTGCTGAGGGCAGCAGGGCCAGTTCCCTGGGGACCTTCCCACTGCAGCTGGGCAGTTGGAAGACCTCCAGGCCAGGTGCAGACCAAAGTCACAATCCCAAAAGTGGGGAACACGGCACAAGAGGGCTGCCCCTCAGGGGGGTCTGGGGGAGAAGCAGGTATGGATGGGGCTGGAGCACGCCCCACTGCCAATGTACTGCAGCCCTCCAGGCCTAGCTGGGAGGTGCTGGGGGCCAGCGGTGTCAGGGTGGGGGGAGTAGGGAGAAGTGGAGGAGCAGGGAAAGATCGAGCCCTCTGAGGGGCTGGTGAGCAAAAGGCTGAGCTCTCAGGTCAAGGGGCAGTGGCTTGGGGGTTGGGCAGGAGATCAGAGTCCCTGGGGAACCCCAGAGGCCCTCATGGAAGCCCCCAGCAGGGAAGGGTCCCCATCTCCCATTCTCATCTTTGCCCCGGGCACTTTGTCTCACTCGCCTCACTCCACCCTTCTCTGTGCCTCAGTTCATTCCCTGGGGCCGTGGGAATAGTCACTTTGGGGGAGGGGCATATCTATATAGGATCAGGAGCTGCCCCTCTGCCCTTTCCCATGGTTTTTTAGCCTGTCTCCCTCCTCTGAACTCCATTTAGTCCCCCAGACCTGCCTCCCCCCAACTTTTGCCCCACTTTCCACAAGGTGCATGGAGTCTGCCAGAGCACGGGTCTGTGGAGGCCCCAGCATGAGGGCCTTTCCACACACTCACAGTAGATGGTAAGCTGGACAGTGGTCTGTGTGTGGATGTCCAGGCGGCTGTTGTGGGCCAGGCAGGTATATCGGCCTGTGTGGGCACGGCTGGTGCTGGTGATGGTGTAGGTAGGCCCAGTGTGGACCTGAGTGTGGTCACGGAGCCACACATAGTGACTCGGGGGGTTGGAGGCAGCCAGGCAGCTCAGAGTCACTTCTTCCTTTTCACTGGCCCAAAACCCCTCCTCAGTGAAGCGTGGTGGCTCCACGGTGATCACAGGCTTGTCTGGACCATCTGCAGGCAAGGAAAGTCTGTCACACCCACCCAACCTGTATTTCTTCATTCACTCATGTAATCTTCACTCATCGTCCAACAATCATGTATTATGCACTGACTGTGTCAACCACTACGCGAGGCCCCCAAGGAATCCAGAGTCCAGGGGCCACAGGCACAGTCCAGTACGGGTGATCAGGGTCTGTGGAGGTGAGCACCAGGCTTTGGAAACCCCGGAGAGCATCTGTGACTCTGGGACGCTTCCCTGAGGGACTGGTGGGTTGAGCTGAGGTTGGGGGACAGGCAAGAGTTGGCGAGGCAGGAGGGAGGTGAAGTACCCAACCCTCCCACATTGCCTGGCGTTTAGGGTTTCTTGGGCCTGGGACAGTTGGTTCCTCTAGACTGGAGAGGGGAGAGAACAGGGTAGGAAGGTGCCCTGAACATGGTCCCCGCAGCCAACCCTTTTCCCTCCTTTGGGTCACGTCCTCCCCCTCTCTCCTGTGTCCTTGTCTCCTTGACTCCCAGAGAGGACAAACTTCTCTGCCTGCTTCCATTCTGCTTCTATGTCTTTCCCAAGAATTGCTCACCTGTCTCCTCTGCAGTCCTCAGTTTACAATTCCCACAAACTACCTCCAACAAGACAGACAGGACACCATTAGTCCCTGCTCCTTAAATCCTCTAGGCCAGCACTGCCCAATAGATATGTGTGAGCCACAGATGTTTAAAATTTCCAGTAGCCAGATCTCCAAAATTAAAATAGCCAAACCCAACCAAGCAAAACCACCAATAGGTTTCAATCATTTTGATATTTTTCATTAAAACCAAATACCTCCAGAATATTATCATTTCAGTATATAATCAATATAAAAATTATTGATGAGCTATTTTATATTCTTTCTTTAGACTGAGTCTTCAAATCCAGTGTGCATCTTATACTCTGAGCACATCGGGTTTTGGTTCAGCTACATCTCGAGTGCTCGAGGCCACACGAGTGGCTTCCATACTGGACAGTGCTGCTCTAGCCCAGCCTAGCCGTCACCTTTCACACAAACTTCTGATTTCTTTTAGAAGTTCATTAGCTTTCTGCATTCTCCTCTGTACCGAAATAACTATTCTGGTCTTCCGTTCACTTTTATATTAGCTTGCTGCTTTCTCCTCACTGGCTGTTTTGGAATTCTTTCTATGTTCTGAAATTAATCCTTTGTTTACTCTATGCACTTTATAGACAAGCTTCTGCTTTCTAACTTCAGGCCCTCCAAAGTCCCTCTTGGGACCAACTTGCTGCCCTCTCTTCCCACGGTGCCCAGGGAGTGGTTTCTGCATCCTCAAGTTCAGTTGACCCCCAAGAGACCTTCAGGCTCAACCCAAAGACAGACTTTCTGGGCCACCCCTGAATCGTAGGTAAAATTGTGACTATGAATATATGCACATTTTCCTGGGAAGAGGGGCCCATGACTTTGACAAGGTTAAAGCCTTTCGTACTGCAGCCACATTTGGCACCAGTGGGTACAGTGCCCGAGGCTGGGGCACTCCTGGGGGCCCTGAGGTGTGTCAGGAGGCCAAGTGTGGGTGGGTAGGTAGGTAGGTGGGCGTTCTGACCATTCTTCCCCCTCCCAGTCTGACTCACAGATGACATCCAGGAAGGCTTCGTCACTGCTCAGTCGGTTGACAGCGTTGTGGGCACTGCACACGTACCAGCCCAGGTGTGTCCGGTTGACTGGGTCCAGCTGTAACAGTCGCTCCGTAACTCCCACCAGGGTCGCCTCAGGGCTTCGGGGTGCCTGATGCTGCCAGGCAAAGGTCACAGGCTCCGTGCCCTCCCGCACCGCGCATGTGGCCGCCACGGATGTCCCCTCCATGGGGGACAGCTCATTCATCCGCACCTGAGGCTTCGATACAGGCACTGGCCGGAGGAGGGAGAGGCCCAATGTTTGTTATCACAGACCCAGGCTATGACCGGCTGTGTTCGAACAGCCCTGCCCTTTCTAGCTGGAGGCTGGCCTGCCCACTGGGTTCCTGAACATCGCTTATTTCCTCACCCCCTGGAGGCAGGCCCTGTAGAACCCGGACCCAGCAGAATATGACTGGACGCACATGCAAACAGATGCAAAGCAGCTCACCCAGCACAGTCAGCCTGAAGTGGGCGTAGGCAGTGTGCAGCCGGCCTCCAGCCTCGTGCAGGGCCTGGCACAGGAAGTGGCCGCGGGCACTCTCTCGCAGCTCCCCCAGCACCAGGCTGCTGTTCAGCAGGCTCACGGCTCCCAGAGCCGAGGCCCCAGCCTCCACCTTGGACTCTGCTCCATTGGTGACAGCCACAGGCCGGGGAATCAGAGAGCCCAGCGGGGTGAAGCTCCAAAAGACCACCAGCGGGGAGGGCTGGGAGCCACAGGCCAGCTCTACAGAGCGGCCCCTCACTCCCTGGATGGACGTCGCCACCTCATCAGGCTGCCCTGGGGACAGAGTGACAGCTAAGGACACCTGAGCTGTTCTGGGTTACCCTGCTCCCCCTCCTTGCCCAGAGCCTCTGTACCTTGTTGTGCAGGCTGAGAGGGTGGAGCAGGGTTTGATAAGACAGCATGAGCACCTTTAGAGTTGGGGGGCAGAGGCAGTTTGTGAGGGGGCCTGCAGAGCGTCTCCTGCTTGGCTGTGCTGTAGGAGCGGGCAGGGTGGGGGATCCGCGACTGAGATCAGGGAATGGACTGAAGGTTCCCACCCTCGTGGGTAAGCAGAACATCTGGAAAGCGTGATAAAAATATAGATTCCTGGGCCTCATCCCAGACTACTGAGTCAGAATCTCCAGGGGGGTCGAGTGTCCAGCAATCTGTATTATTAACAAGCATCCGGAAGTCAATCTGATGATCAGCCAGATGACACTGCACGAGTCAGGAGATCCACTGGCAAGTTAGGCTCTGGAGACCTCGGTGTAGGGATTCTAGACCCATCAGCAAAGGGACCGTGACACGAGCCTACCATCGGCCCACCCAGCGTTTAGTCATTTGTCAACTGTTTAAATTATAAAATGCCTGCCTAATGCGAGACACCAGGGTCACAGTGACAGATGAGCCACTCCATGGTGGCTCGCTCTCGTGGAGCTTTCAGTTTATCAGCAAGTCAGACATTAGATGGCCATTATGGGGTAAGGCTGTCAGCAGGCGTCCTTTTCTGCTGAAGGCCTAACACAAAACCCAACCCCTGCCCAAGCATCGTGTTTTCCTGTCCCCGCGGCCAGGTCACTGTAAAGTGTGGACAGCCTCAGCAAATGGGGATGAAAATAAATGCCTCACAGGACAACCAAGCCACAGGAATAGGTCTCACCAGCTTCCGTTTACTGAATGCCTCCTTTGCGTGAGTCCAGGTCTTAGACTCTTCACAGCACTAGCTACTGACTTTAATTGTTAAAACAGTAACATCGCTTGAGACGCTGAAACACCACATCACTTTGTCCAAAAGCACGGTAGGTGGTGGAGCTGGGGTTGGAGCCCTGTCCAACTCCCAATCTGAGACTCTCCTCACTTGCTAGCAACTTCTCCAGAGAGAGAAGAGAAGACAGACATGGAGTTGGAGGGAAGGGATCAAAGGCAAAATTCTGATGTTCGATTGACCAAGAAGGAAAACACTTAACCCAGAAACTGATTCTTTCCAGTCCTGACAGCTCTCAGGGCCCTGAAGACCATCTGGCTTGGAGGAAACTTCCTGAAACCAGATCTGACCATGTCACTTCCATGCTTACAACTTGACAGTGGCCCTCGGGATAAACCACAGCTTTTAAGGTACTGCTCAGTGTTGTGTTCTGGCCCTGCCTCCTCCATCTGGCACATCAGTGGACACTTAGGGCACGCTGGCTAATGTCTAGCAGATGAATGGAGTTAATGGACTTCACTGAGTGGCTACACAGCACAAAAGAAGTCTCCTGAGGAAGAACAATGGGGTGTGAGTGGGGAATGGGCCGCCGTGTGGGGTGGTTTGAGTGTCACTCACCTGAGGCTCCCAGGTGCAGAAGGCAGAGTGGTGTCAGCAGCAGGAGGCCCGGAGGTCTGTGCAGGGCCCTCTGACCCACCATGGCCCCATCTCCTTGGGTGGCTGCCCTTCTGAGGTGCCTGCCTGATGCTCAGGCTCCCTCTCCCCAGAGCAAAGCCCAGCCTTGGAAGGATGGGGGTCTGGCTCAGGTTGCCAACCTCAACCCTTCTGACACCTCTACCCCTGCTCTCCAGTTACCCTCACTGCCCCGATTACAGATGAATTATTTACCAGGTGATTCACTCCATCCGTAATACAGAGTTGAGGAGAGCAAGACCTGGCTGGGACGGACCTAGGAGAGGGCCCCGAGCTCCCTGCATTTTTATTTTATAATATGCTAAATATTAGAGAGTCACTGAGATAGAGTTGAAAAAGGCCCCAACTGTATCAAGTCCAACCACTAGCCCAGTGCAGGACACCTGCCTGCAGCCCTCTGCACCACAGCGCCCCCAAGGTTGGTTCAAACACACCTCTAAGTGGCCTTTGATCCCTCTATTTTCCTCATGTTCTGTTAGGAGAAGCTGGTGGAGCCATGGAAGGAACTTAGGAATCAGACAACTCCAGTTTGGGTTTGACTGACGAATTGTGAAACTTTAGGAAATTTCTGAGCCTCTCCAAGCTCTAGTTTCTTCACAGACAAATGGAGAGGATAATAACACCATCTTCCTTGTAAAGACTATTTTGAATATTAAATGAATAAACTTAAATTAGCGCATGGAGGGGAGATTCTTTGGTACTAGTAATGTCCTATGTCTTATCTTGAGTAGGGGTTACAGTTCATCAAGCTGTATGTTCATTATTTTGTATACTTTTACCTATGCTTCATAAAATTCACACACACACACACACACACACACACACACACACACACACACACACACAGAGCACCAGCAGAAAGGCAGTGCACCATCCTGCCTGCTCCT